TACCCCCCCCAAATAAATAAAATAAAATAATTTAAAAAAAACCCTACTCTAATGACACAAAGAAAAATGATTAAAAGATATAAAACTTCAGCAGAGAAATGGAAAATATAAAAAAGAGCCAAACAGAAATTTGAGAACTGAAAACTACAATACAGGCACACCTCATTTTATTGTGCTTCGCAGACACTGCAGGTTTTTGTTTTGTTGTTTTACAAATGGAAGGTTTGTGGCCATTCTGTATTGTCAGATGGTTAACATTTTTTTAGCAATAAAGTATTTTTAAATTAAGGTATGTACTTTCTTTGACATAATGCTATTTCACACTTAATAGACTACAGCATAGTGTAAACGTAACTTTTATATGCAATGGGAAACAAAAAAAAATTCATGGGACTTGCTTTATTGTGATAATTGCTTTACTGCGGTGTTCTGGAACTGAACCCACAATATCTTCAAGGTGTGCCGGTATCTGAAATTTTAAAATATCACTGTATGGGCTTAACAGCAGGATAAAGATGACAATGAATCTAGTCAATGGAAAGTATCCAGTCTGAAGAACAGAACTGTGGGACAATGAAAAGATCTAACAGAGATGTAACTGGAAATCAGTTCACATGTGTTGAATGAACTGTATGAAAGCATGATTATTATGACACACCTGACTAACACACCAAAAAACCCCCAAAAACAAAAAACAGACTCTGAGCGGTTAAGGGCCTTGGACAAGGACATACATTCAGGATGAAAACCTAGAATTCAGAGCCCATCATCCTGTCATGTTCTGCTGGATTAATTTCTGTATTTGAAAATGATTAAAGTGGAAGTTAGAAGCTGCTTAAAATCCTAAGTACGAAGCATCGCTCTAATCCCAGGAGCAGGGGAGACTGGCAGAGGTGCCTGTGAAGGGGAGTAGGACCCTGTGCCCGCCCTCACTCTTGTTTATAGAAAAGCTGAAGTCTCTCAGGCCTCCCTGAGTCAGAAGAGCAGGCTGAAGCAGTTGATTAGGACAAGCCTGCAGGCAATGGGGGCTGTCAATGATTCTGACCACCTATCTCAACGATTAACTAAGATTATTCCTTCATTTCCCTTTAAAAGTTTCATGGCTGAACAGAACTTTTGGAGATGGTTTTTGGAGAGGGGAAGACTGGGTACACTAGATTGCATGCATTCTGATTAAAAGCAACTTTCCTTTTGTTACCAAGGCTATAGCCCCCCAGGATCATACCCCTGCCCCTCCCTAGAATAGAAACCAATTACTCTTATCTAAGTCTCAGGAGGCAGCTACAGAGAAGAAACAAGAACTGGTTAGAACCCACCCAGTCCAAGATGGTGGAGGATCTGACTTCCAGTGGACCTGGAGCCTCATTAAATACATTTATTGTAATATATTAGAATGCTAAATGACACACCCACCAGTGCCATAACAGTTGACGATTGCCATGACAACAACTGAAAAAGCCCATACAAGGACTGATTGGCTCCATCACACCTGAAAGAAGGACATGATGGCAGAAGCCTCCCATAAAAATCCACGTGACCACCACCCAGGCTGGAGGTATGTCTACTGCACATCTTGGCTGACAGCTCCCTGCTCCTTGCTCCTCACTCGAGCGCTCCTTCTTTGCTCAAGTGCTTTTTTTACCTTCTCCCTGCTAGAGCACCTTCCTTCCATTTCCCCTTCTGATCAATAAAGCAGCTGTTCACTTCGTCCCTCTGCCTCTGCTGTGCAAATTCTTCCACAGCCAGCGGCAAGAACCCACACTTTGGTGGGCTTCCTAATTTAGGGGTCCCTCCATCCGGTAACAGGTGTGGACAGCATCTGGTACCTGCAGTGAACATTTTTCCTGCGCCAGAGATCACCACGGCCCGACAGTCATCGTCGTCCACAATCTTGTTGAAACAAACCACCATCTCCCTATGGAGGGAAAAGGGGGGAAGGGCTGTGTCTGGGGTAGGAATCTTCTGCCCTCAGGTCCAACCCTGCCCAATCCCTCAACCCCTGCCTCCTCTGGCACTCAGGCCTCCAGGATCTGCAGGCCAGACCTCCAGAAAGCCTTGTTCATGGCATTTCTCTTCTCTGGCCGGTTTAATTGCACATGCAGAATGTGTTTCTGGGGAGCAGTCACCCGAAGGGACTCATAGCTGTGGTCTAGGGCTTCATTGAGAGCTGCTCTGGAGGCCTCATCTTGTGCAGAGGAGCCCATGAGACGAAGGCTAGGGCTGAGACCCAGGCGGTTAAGGCCTGTCAATCCTGGGGAGACAAAGGAAGACGCTTTGATGACCCCAGATTGGGGGCACAACACCTTCAAAAGCAGAGAGTACACATCTCACGTCAGTTACACTACACTGGGTAAAAGGCCTGTTACAGGGCTCGGTTTAGGGAGATACAGACTTTAAGATTAGTGTGTGCTTA